CTGCATAGTTTGCTCCCTTAGTCTCGGCTCTTACGACACCTACGGGATGAATGGGGGTGGTGACAATCCGTATTCTTAATCCGTCACCACACGGACGCAATTTTATATTAAAGCTTCATAAATATAGCTCAAGAAAAAAATAATAATATCAAAGCTTTTATCTATTTATCTATATTATATAGAATTAGAAACTGACTGTCGATCCTGTTTCATGCAAGGATTGCCTCATTCTATTAGACGAACAGCGCTAGTTGGTCAAAATTGATGAATTAATAATTTTCCATGCAATATATATCGATGTTTTTTTCCGTATTTTTGTAAAGACAATGCCAGCATTACGAGTATATCCTGCGTCGGGCGGGACTTTACAAACATACATGTAACGGATACAAAGAACACCCAGACTCAGAACAAAAATTTATGAATCACACAAAGCGGCGTCCTGTGTGGGGATTGGACCCACAACACTCAGCGTAGTAGTAAGCGGCTTGGCGACCGCTTAAACCACTACGCCATCCGTGCAGTCAGTCAGTCAGATATAAAACAGTTAAGAATATTGTTTATTAAGAAATATTCCGTTTTTTTTTATATGATTGCGAATAATTGTTTGAATCTTCTACGATGTCTGGTGTGGGCTACCACGTGGACCAAGACTAGCACTAGCTATAATATTATACTAATAGCTATCACAAAATATTATATTTAACGCCCATTATAACGTGTTCTTTCTGTATCTTACTAATATTATAAAGGCAAAAGTTTGTATGGATGTTTGTTACTCTTTCACGTAAAAACGGTTCAACGGATCTAGATGAAATTTGGTACAGCGATAGGTTATAGAGTTCAATAGCACATAGGATAATTATTTAATACGAAAAATTGTAGTGTTCCTGTACAACAACAACCGCAGGTAGCACCGCGGGGCGAAACTAGTATTAGAATAATAGTAAAAGTGTTTGGCGACACCGGTACCCGTGCAAACAAAGCATAGGGGTAGTCCCCCTCGTATTATTATTCCATGGACCAACAATCTAAAGTGCAAGCATTACAGTAAATAGTTACATAATCACGCCAAAAGACATGTATGTATATCGGTGTCTAAGCCGTCACCCCGCTACGAAGATCACGTGCCGTGTTACGGGATAAAAAATAGATTGCATTGTGTTACAATTCTACACAGAATTTATCTGCAAATGTCTTTTATTTATTTTTTCGATTTCTATTTGCTTATCATTATTGAATCAGTATCTACAACACTCGTTTTCGCACGCATTAAAATAGAATTTCCAATTGATTCAGTACAGTATTATTTTTGGATGAAAAGTAAAATGACAACTTTCATATTAACATGATGATCGGTTGAGAAATCGAAAGGCGGACGCGTAACAAACAATAAAACTGACATTCCCATTCACAACATTATTTAAGATACTATTATTTAGAATCCATCCCCTACTCATAATAAAAATAATACTAAGGGCAGATGTCGTGGTTTGTTACACATATTAAACGTTTTTAAAGCAGTTTCAAAATTTCATTATTGTTTGTAGCTGTACAATAGCATTCTCTACAATATTTAATACAACATATTTTATCTAAGTAAAGTAAGTAGTCTAAGTTTTTATAGTAGGCCAAAACCTCCTTTCTAAGGAGAGGAATATGTCCAGCAGTGGACTAGTAAAGGCTGTTGATGATGATTGATGAAATTATTTTTTATGGTAAAAGGGACCGACAAGTCACATGATCGTAAGTGACTACCGTTGCCCATGAACACCTACAACTTAAGTCACTAGTGTGCATTGCCACCTGTTGTGTACCTTCTCCAGAAATAGAAGCATGGGTGTTTTGGGCTCTCTCAAAGAATTGCTTAACATCAGTCTTCTGTAAGGCGGTAGTATTACACTGGTTGAGATGATCCATTTGTGACAAATCATGGCATAAAATTATATATAAATTCATAGTTTTGTTCAGTAATTATGATTGTCCTATTGAGCAAATGGCAAGTATTTGTATTCTGCAGGCTTGTAATTCTAAATGACATCACAGCTCAGGATAAGCCTAAGAACCAACAAACTACCTTGGTTATAAAGGGTTAACTAAACTAAACCCTTAAATCAAGATTTGCTTGACCAGGTGCAGTATATAGGTATCTACTGCACTAAATAAATAAATGATGACTCTGGAGGTCCAAAGTCATAATTTATTTATTTTATTTCTTCATGCACATATTACAACTTAATTGTACAATGGCAGATTTAATTCCCAGTCAACCTTTGGGTGGTGAGAAAAAGTCTGAGTAAGTGCACCAGTAATAAAGCTTTTTTTTCTCTTAAAAAGATAATTATAATAATTGAAGAGTTGTGGACTATTAAAGGCTGTTGATGATGATGATGAATATATAAAAATGATACTTTGCTTTCTGTTTCACCTTTAACATGGTGTCCTTACAACCAATTCAGGAGCAAACAATCCACTTCAATTAACAATTTGTTGTTCAGTTGTTTCTGAGGGTGCCTACTGGGATTTGTCCTTGGCTTTTACCACTGTTGATAGCTCCAGAGTGGTAGATTTTCCTTCCTTAATTACTATTTTGCAATTTATCCAATTCAAAGATAATTAATCTGAATCATATCTATACTCAATAAAATTACTATTCAGCTAATTCACTTGTGTTGATCAATTTTATACTAGACAGGAATCAATTACATTTCTTAAGTATTAGTGGGACTTAGTTCATAGTAAAATAGAAAACAAAAAAATTCCTGCTGTAATATAATTTTCCACAAACAAACTGCTGACAATAAAGGTATATTATAAGGATTGTAGAAAATACATTGCTAATCTTTTTAGAATTTAAATGTTTAATGTCTTATATCCAATGTTGTATATTTAATACATAAAACTACATCACACATTACAATAAAAAATCAACATAAACCTAATTAAGTTAAGTCTGTATTGAGCCTTCAGAATAAGGAACTGATTAATGTTATACCTAACCGTGTATATGTGCGGGTAGAGTATGAGATATGTGCCTTTTGATTAATAGTAGTAGTATATACATGTACAGGAAAATAGTATTTAATACTTTAAATTAGCAACCATATCACTTTTGTTGTGTTAGTATGTAACAAAACAATTAACTGCTATATTAAATTTTTAAAAGCCATCTAACTGAGCACTAAATATTCAAAGTCAAATAAGGCAGTTAGCTGTGTTAACAGCCTATGTTTAAGTAATAGGTCATTGAACCAGCTTTCACATGACTGAAGGTTATTTTATTCATAAAATAAGTAGTTACATGTTTAAAAATATGAGCGGTCTAAATTTTTATAACTTTATTGTACTGAAACATACATATTTCATGTTCCTTATACTTCTTTAAAAAAGGACAAACAGTTAATATGTTTCAGGTAAAACTAGAAAGCTTTTCAGATTGTAATAATTACAGAAGAAAACTATCATCATCATCATCAATCCATCATTATCAATTTTCCTTATCATCTATTTATTGACTCAGTAACTCAACTTTGTAGGGAAAAATAAACTGATATACTGTTTATTCAATTGACATAGATTTTCTTCTATGCAGTGTTAGTTAGTAGTAAAAGAACAAAATAGCAACATAATAAAAGTCAACTTTTTGCATGGCAGTAGGACAGATAACAACATTTATATAAGAATTTAATCTATTAACAAAAATAACCTTAAATTATTTATATGGGTTAAATAATTCTCATAAATACCTCAATATCTACATTTTAATAAATAAACGAAAAAAGATTTCTATTCCACATATAGTAGTTGACTTACAAACATAAAGTATAAAGTTTCAATTGCATCAATTATTGGTGTTAACAGATTATTAAAAAATCTCAATAATAGCCTGTGTTATACTATCAAGCATTACCCAACTCATATGTCCATGGATTATTATAGTTACTTTAAAAAGTATCATAATTTTTCTATTATAACACAACATTGTTATAATAGAAAAATTATGGTACTTTGATATTTCTGAAATTTAAAAAAAAGTTGTCATTTAAATTGTTTAGAATCATTAGTAATTTGTTTAATTATTAAACGACAAGGTCAATAATCTCCTATATTAATACAGGGACCATATATGTATTTTTATTTATTTATTTTATTAATGAACAGTACAGTCAGTGACAGTAGGTACAGTCCCTACCTATTATAACTATAAAACTTAATAGTTGAAAAACTCTTTATGTTTGTAATAGTGTTGATAAATAAACTTTTTTTGTTATTACTAAGTTGAATCATTGTTACACTTCAAATAAATCCTAAAGAAACGTTTTACTAGCAGCATTTAATAGGAAGTTATTTTATAAGGAAGAGCTAATTAACATTCAACGCGACGAGTGTAGAGCGCGGCACACGAGGCACCCGCGACCTATTCCTCATCGACAACACTGACAACACCAGAGCCGGCACTAACTAACCACAAAATCCTAAATCCACGCCAATAACTCCACTCATTGCTACAATTCAATTTGCTTTTAATGCATTATAGAAGCTCAAATTTAACGATAAATCTTTAATATGTCGAAGTCTGCCACCAAAATGTTTTGACAACATCGAATATAACCTAAAATCTCGTGTCGAAACCTTCAAAACTATCTAAAACAATCTCTAAAAACCCTAAATGCCGTTAGATAATTACAGGCGCTTTGTGTCTAACCACCCGCACGTTAATACGCAAGCCGATACAATGATACCTAGATGCAAATGCTAATGTCCTATTTGACGAAATTTGGTAAAATAAATATAACTTTTTCGCAAACAAGCATTTGCCGCGATAAACTGATACATAAACTGTTTGGTTCAGTTTAAAAGTCAAAATAAGAAATATAATATAATTGAACTAATTATCGTGAGCAATTAATGAAGGTACGACAATCAAAGCAAAGCACCGCTAGTCGGCTGGCGGTGAACCGGCGAAGCTACAACAAAAATAACCAATTATTGCCACTTACCGCCGACTCTGTACATATTCGCAGCCATTTTTATACACAATCACTATTCATTAACACTTAATTAATCTACATCTGACACAATTAATAACTATAACACTATGTAATTGAGCTTTTAACAATGTTTTTCATCACGTTAACTCCGGACGCCTTTCGCTGATCGCCATTTTCTTTCACACTACTAATTTGGCCAGTGCGCAGTCGCACTTTTTGGCGTAAACTTCCTGCTCTTGAAACAAAGCAATGACATGTCATTAATTTTGTATCCACAAATTAAGTTAGAATTTCCGATATTTTACCATTTAATACGAATTATTTTACAAATAATGTCCATAATTGAAATATAATTTACTATGTCCTAAAAATAAAAAAATATTTCATTCACAAACGTTTCATTACTGCTCAGAATACTCTCCACAGCACAGAATGTATCACAGATGCAGATTATGTTTTACATTAACATTACGGTAACAAACAGATGTAAACGGAAAGAAAATAAATAAATTTTATACTGTTATAATAACATTACTTGGACTGCTTTAAACATGTAAACATTCAATATAATTTATTTTTTTAAGCGTCTTTTATTTAAGCATGTGTGTAACGAAACGCTGCACTTTGTTTCATAGACAAAGACGCTAGGCTTGTCTATGAGATTTTCTAAACTTTATGATCAACCATAAACTGTTCAGTTCATTCTATTGGCCTTGGTTGAATATTCTATGGTCATAATTTAATTTATAAGTATGAGAAGTTTCAAGTATCCTAAATTTAACTAGAATATTTAAATATGTAAATTAAATTTTCTATGCTTTTAAATAAATGCATTGCGTCTTTTAAAATGACGTGGCTATTGTGACAGCTGATTGTCTATGACTTTGACAATTGCCAAATCAGCCAGCCTTCCCGTCTGCCTGCTAAGTTTCTGTAAAATTCAGTTAAATAAGCATCTCCTGAATGAATACTTAGTTATATGTTGATTTTATTTTCATGTGGCTGGACTTGAGCAGCCGCATGCACATTTGGTGTGTAAAATAATAAAAATAAACGATGTATCAGTGAGTCAATTAGTGTTTATTTCAACTTTATTCAATATTTCGTTATAGATCTGCGATATGGCCACGTATGAAGAGTTTATACAGCAAAATGAAGATAGAGATGGTATACGGTTCACATGGAACGTATGGCCTTCGAGTAGAATCGAATCTACACGTCTGGTCGTGCCTCTTGCCTGCCTGTACCAGCCGTTGAAGGAAAGGCCCGATTTGCCGCCGATACAGTATGAACCAGTACTATGTACTCGAAATACTTGTAGAGCTATCCTAAATCCTATGTGCCAGGTTGACTATAGGTCAAAACTATGGGTCTGCAATTTCTGCTTTCAACGAAATCCTGTGAGTATATTTTCTAATCAAAATTGCATTCCATCACATATGTTTAAGTGTTACTAAGTATGAGAATGAAACAACAGACTACAGAAAGCCACATATGCCACAATTAAAGTCTTGCTAAGTGTTACATATTTCATCATCATCAACTGCCCTTTATAGTCCACTGCTGGACATAGGCCTCTTCTTAGAAAGGAGTTTTTGGCCTACTATACCACGCCGGCCAGATAGGTTGGTATAGGGTTTGTGTCAAACTTTGCGTCTCTTTGTTGTTACATATTTAATTCAAAATTAATTTTGTTCAATGTTGTCTGCAAAAAATATTTCTTTTTTAAGTGACAATGACAAATTGTGTTTTAGTTTCCACCCCAATATGCTGCCATATCAGAACAACATCAACCAGCAGAGCTCATACCAAACTTTTCAACAATAGAGTATACTATCACCAGAGCTCAAACAATGCCTCCAATCTACTTGCTCGTAGTTGACACATGTTTGGATGAAGAAGAACTTGGAGCATTAAAGGATTCTCTCCAGACATCTCTCAGTTTAATGCCCCAAAATGCTCTTGTTGGGTTAATCACATATGGCCGTATGGTACAGATACATGAATTGGGTAAGTCTAATTATACATATACATACATATGTAGACATTCAAAGTGAAATGTAATACTTTTCTAATTTATTGACATTTATCATTAGAAACTGACTTCTGCTCACTGTTTGCCACTTGTAGTATCACATAAATTTATTTAGTATCCAAATTGTAATAATGAGGCAGCCATTGCATATGAATACAATAACAAAATAATATCAATAATTTTATTGTGAGCATGCATATATTAGATCTTCTTACAATTGTTTACACTATGATCTACCATACTGGTAAAACAATTTACTCTCAGTTACACTGTTAAGAAGTGAAGTGATTTAAGGCAGAATATTCCTAATTTTAATATTACATCACTAACAAATAAAATATTTTCTACAGGTACAGAAGGAATATCAAAATGCTATGTTTTCAAAGGTACCAAAGATTTGACAGCTAAACAGATTCAGGAACAATTAGCTATAGGTCGTGTAAACGCTCCTAATCCCCAGCAACGTCCTGGTGCTCCTACACCACAACCTCCAGCACATCGCTTCTTACAGCCTGTGAAAACTTGTGACATGGCACTGACAGACCTCCTTGGTGAGCTTGGACGAGACCCTTGGCCTTTAGGTATTGGAAAGAGACCACTGAGAAGCAGTGGTGTTGCTCTCTCTTTAGCAGTTGGTTTACTTGAAGTAACTTACCCTAATACTGGTGGAAGAATTATGCTGTTTCTTGGAGGCCCATGCTCACAAGGCCCAGGTCAAGTTGTAAATGATGAGCTGAAGCAGCCCATTCGTTCTCATCATGACATTCAGAAGGACAATGCTAAGTATATGAAGAAGGCTATTAAGCATTATGAAGCTTTGTCTCTAAGGGCAGCAACAAATGGTCATTCTATTGATATATACTCGTGTGCATTAGATCAAACTGGACTTATGGAAATGAAACAATGTTGTAATTCTACTGGGTATGTGTATACCTTTATACAAAATTATGTTGACTGTACTCGTGACACTACTTAATGTTATAGAATACCTACAATATAAATCTTAGTAGTGTCTATAATTAACAATTGTAGGTTAATTGTTATTAGTTGTACCAGAAGGTATTATTAATTAACTAATAGGAAATGTTTAATCTAATAATTTAGAGACATCTAAGATCTTACATAAGTAATTTCAAGTTTACAAAAATAAAGTCTTAAAACTTTAGCCTACTTATCACTACTACAACTTACCAACTATTTCTTAATTTATTACAGTGGGCACATGGTGATGGGAGACTCATTCAACTCATCACTGTTCAAGCAGACATTCCAGAGAGTTTTCGCTAAGGATCAGAGGGGAGATTATAAAATGGCATTTAATGGCACATTGGAGGTGAAATGTAATAGGGAACTCAAAAGTAAGTTATTAAATGTATATTAATTAATACTAGAGATTACCTAGTAGTTGAATTTCGACTGTTTTCACTGTCTCATTTTAGGTTACTGTCCTTATGATTTTTCTTTCTTTAAAAAGCCAAAAATTTCTGCCTAAGCACATTTGGTTAACTAAAAGCTGTGTAAAAATAATGCACAAAATACATGTGACCTCATATCTTACTAATATTATAAAGGCATATGTATGGATATTTGTTACTGTTCACACAAAAATGACTGAATGGATCTGGATAAAATTTGGCACAGAAATAGTTTATAACAACATGTTAAACAACCTTAAAGTTGTCACATGTGATGTGTAACATTTCACAGCCAACTGTAGTACTACGCGCGATCATTGTTCAGTTCAAATAGTGCACGCTTCCACGTTCTATTACACAACATTTCCGTCCCTGTTCTCGAAATTACTCACGCAATTTGCAGGCAGTCCGTGTGGTGACGGATTAAGAATACAAATTGTCACCACCCCAATTCATCCCGTGGGTGTCGTAAGAGCCGACTAAGGGAGCAAACTAAGCAGGACAACAGCACTGCAAAGAGAAGGAAAACTTGAAACAAACCCTATACCAACCCGTCTGGCCAGTGTGGTATAGTAGGCCAAAACCTCCTTTCTAAGGAGGGGCCTATGTCCAGAAGTGGACTAGTATAGGCTGTTGATGGGAGGAAAAATGTTATTTTTCTATAATCTAATTTGAAAATATGTTTGTCATCAGTATCTGGTGCGATCGGTTCATGCGTATCTCTGAACGTGAAAGGGCCGAACGTGTCAGATCAAGAGGTGGGCATGGGCAACACATGTCAATGGAAGATTTGCACATTCACTCCTAGCACTACTATGGCAATATTCTTTGAGGTAAGTTACCTCTTATGGTACCTATAAGGTAAGTTAAGTAGTATTAAGTAGCAAGTATTAAGGTAGAAACAATGTGGGGGATTTGTTTAAAAATCTCATTTTTCAATCATATTTAAAAATATCTTTGCCTTCCCAATTAATTACTTTTTGACCGACTATGCAGCTCCCTTGTGGAATGTTTTACTTAAATCTGTTACGTACGTGCGTTCATGATGTTTAGGTGTTTACTGTGTGCCTACAGATTAAAGTAATCTTTAAATGTTAAGATAATAATATTCTCTTTTATTGTTTTTTAATATACTAGACTTATTTGCAATGTCGTAATAGAGTAAACTGTTAAGGAAATATAATTATTATGTATTCCCTTTTTCTTACATTCTCGTTGAACGTCTCTTTTTAACTTTTTATTTTGCACAGGTGGTGAACCAACATGCAGCAGTTCCTCAGGGTGGCCGGGGCTGCGTACAATTCATCACACAGTACCAACACTCCAGCGGACAGAGGCGTGTTCGCGTTACAACCGTAGCTCGCAAGTGTGTATTGATGATGTATTTTATTACAAACTTAGACTTATTTTGTCAATTAAGCTCTCTGACAATATCTGGACGAATGACAAGCAGATACTAAGGACAACTTGGTACAATATAGGTATACATTTCATCATAATGGGTTGAGTAGTTAAGTGTGTAATTGTGACAAACAAACCCACATTTGCATATATAATATTAATTAGGAAAAATTAGCATAGCATTCAAGCTTTCCAGTTTAAACATGCGATTGATGGATACTTATAAGACTAATATATTTTTAAATAATTGAAAAGTAATATTGTTAAGAGTCTTTATTGTATCTTCCTAATTCCATTCTAATAGAGTATGTTGTTTATTTGAAACTTGACTTTCCTTATTTAGTTGGGGTGATGCAGCGGTCAGTCTCCATCACATAGCGGCTGGCTTTGATCAAGAAGCAGCAGCAGTAGTCATGGCTCGTTTAGTCGCTTACAGGGCAGAACTGGAAGACGGACCTGACGTGCTGCGTTGGTTGGATAGGATGCTTATTAGACTGGTAAGCGAACTTTTCATTTATTGGTTTTGAAATTTAAGTTTGATTGCCTTATGTATCGCCGAGATTACTCTAGGTATAAATTATAATTACGTATATAACTCATAACAAGCACTAGTCTGTACTGTCAATATATGATACGTAAATTATTATGTTTTAAAACACATGAAAATTAAGACAAAATTAAGATTTCAACGAAGTTCCTAAGTTTACCCGTATTTTGTAAACAAATCCATAAGACATGATATTTTATTTTTTTATGTGCAGTGTCAGAAATTCGGCGAGTACGGCAAAGACGATCCGAACAGCTTCCGTCTGTCAGAGAATTTCAGCTTGTACCCGCAGTTTATGTACCATCTCCGACGGTCGCAGTTCCTCCAAGTGTTCAACAATTCACCAGATGAGACTACATTCTACAGGTAAGACCTCTTTAAACAAATTATTAATTTAATATATTTTTAGTAACATGTAAGCTGTTGAGAGATAGGTTAATAAGGCCCACTCAGCACTGAGTATAGAACTACACAATGCGTGTGTCGTTTAATACATATTACTTAACTAAATGAGGGTAAATTCATAATGTCATTGTATTCATCTTGATTATATTCAACTCAAACAGAGGCAACTTCTAAGTTTAGCAAGACTCAAACAGAGGCAACTTCTAAGTAATCACAAGAGATTAGCGCTGTGCATCTCAATATTTGCACTTGAGTATTTCGGCAATTCGTTATTTATTTAAGCGATTTTATTCATTAGATCGTATAATTATTTGTTTAACAGCTTAGTAGTATAAAGAATTAACATGCTTTGTTTACTTTTTTTAATGTCACATTTTTGATTAAGGTGTTGCATGTGTGAGGAGTTTAAAAACTTAGCATTTTTGGTTAGGTACATTTTTTTCTAAAGAATTGGTACTCGATCCTCATGCGCTATTACGTTTATTGTTTAAGTAGAAGTGGCTTGATAAGAAGAATTAGCACATCAGTGGTTCTCCTCCTAAAAACTACTAGTAAAGCGCATTTACCATATTTCGGTGATTCCCTTAATAGGCAGTGTTTAGACATACACGGCTGCCGCTCCATGGCCTGCTACTTGACTACTACTTTTAACTGTTTTTGTTTTGTCAGGGTCACGAATATAATTATCAAATTTATTTCCAGGCACATGCTGATGCGTGAGGATTTGACTCAGTCGCTCATCATGATCCAACCGATCTTGTACTCATATAGCTTCGGCGGTCCACCGGAGCCGGTGTTACTAGACACGTCGTCTATACAGCCCGATCGTATCTTGTTGATGGACACGTTCTTCCAGATCCTGATATATCATGGGGAGGTAAACATTGAACCATTTTTTTTTATTATTGTACTTGTAATTTAATTGATCTAAAAAGTAGGAATATCTATTATTCATATATATGTATAACAATAATTTTTATATCAAAAATAGATGCTCTGAATTTTAATGTGTAAAATGTCTTTATTCGCTGTAAGAAAAAGACCTTTATTAAATTAACTGAACTGAACTGATTAAATTAACTGAACTGAACTGACTATAAGAGTAACGTAACTCTCCGCTGCTGTAACAAACAGCGGGTATCATGTTGAGATTACCTCAACATATAAGGACTCGGTTTAACTTGTCTAAACAAGTTAAACCTACTTATACTAATATAAGTAGTCATCTTTGACCTATGCCGATGTGACTAAACTTCAGCGCTTAGCTTAGTTAGCCATAATATCTTGTAAGGTTCCAATACGATGTATGTTGTTCTTTATATGAAACCAACCAAATTTCTCCCATAAACAGACAATCGCCCAATGGCGCGCCCTCCGCTACCAAGACATGGCGGAGTACGAGAGCTTCGCGCAGCTGCTTCGCGCACCCGTGGACGACGCACAGGAGATACTGCAGAGCAGGTTCCCCGTGCCGCGATACATCGACACGGAACATGGCGGCTCACAGGTAACAAACACATCTCAGTACGGACTATTACATTATACTGAGAACTTTAAGAATAATTTTTAAATATCCAACTGAGAATACCGCTCAGTGATGTTAGGCATTTCTTCAGCGTTGTTCAGCTTAAAACTATACAGTGTCTTCGATGTTAGACTTTCCTGGAGAGGCAGTCGTCTGCCATTTGAAGAAGACTACAATCCATTAAGGAATTAGGACCAAAAGAGACATTGATGAGCATGTCAATTTGTGATAGGTATTGCTAAGACTTTACCTGACTAGTAGCCGTTTCAGATGAATGATTTAAACCCGGCAAAAGCCTAGTTAGACGGATAACTATTATTAATGTGTATCTAGTGATATGTCTGTATCAATATTGTATTATTTCTATGAACGTCAGTTTTAAAAGTTTGAATTTGGATTTTTCTAGACATGTTTATTTAATGAAAGCAGTTACAACGTGATAAAAATAGTGAAAGTAATAAGTGATGCAAATGATATAAGTACATTCAAAAAGACAGCGCTTGTTTCCTTTCAAACGCAAAATTAATTACCTCTTATTTTACTATGAAATTGAAATGTAAACCCGTACTAGTCTAAGTCCCGTCATCTACAAAAACATATAGCCTTTATTACTGATAAATAAATATATTTCCTTACAATTCATCCCGTCTACAAAATAATATTCAAATTGATCACATAATTTCGAATATATTTAATTAAACCCGTACGCACACTAAACCAGATTAGATTATTGCTATAAAACAATCATGCACCCAGTTTATTGCGGATCAGCGCTCTCTTTCCCAGTTTTAGATTTAGCTGCCAATATCCTCTCCAACATATCTGTAACTTTTTGTTGCGACTTAAGGAAATTTCTAAAATGAGAATCATCAAACCTTAGATGTTCTCTGGCCTTATTCAAAGGCATCTGTTGTCTAGACGCAAATGCGTCACAACACCCTTCTGTCGTTGACCTGCTGTAGCTATTATAATGAATTTGCGGCATATTTTCTATTTGTTCAAGCCTTTCATGAAACTTGGTCTCTTTATATCGAGGATGAGAGCGTCCGTGTTCAAACCTCTCGTACGCATCTGATAGACGACTTCTACTTCGATGATCTATTGGTCTTCGTCTATCGGGAATATTCTCCAACCGTTGGCTTATTAAATTATGGTGATTTGAATCCACTAGTCTACCTAAATGTTCTCGTTTTATAACATCACGGTAGCTGGAATCATCTGGGCGATTAAAATTTTCACGGTGATTTATGCCCGATGGTTCATTTAAAATCTGACGGTTATGTGCATTAATTGGACGATTAAACTTTTCCTGCCGATTAGGATCCAACTGCCTGCCCAAAAAATCATGATCATTCGAGATTTCTGACGTGCCTCTGTGGTGGTTAAAATCCAAACTCGAACTGACATGGAACTTAGATTTTTCTAGACCACTTAAACCAACACTGCGTTCTGAGTCTGTGGACTGCTTTACTCCTGTAGCCTTATCTCTGTTATGTTCTATCCTTTCCTTTAGTTTTTCAATTTTATCTTTATAAGATTCTCTAAATTCCTTTTTAACATGCTCTGCTAGCCGCAGATTTTTCGTAAGTTCACCATAAGTTGGATTATCTACGTGATGATTTCTCTCACTTGGCACATTTAGAGGATCTGCGTAATTAAAGTTCAAACGTTGTTCATTATCACGATGTAGCTTTTCTTCTCTCTGTTTTTGAAAAGGGTTTTGAGTTGTCACTATTATATGCTGGTTCATAATCTTCATTGGTTTTGACACTTGTATAACTAATGGAGGAATTTCGGCAGAATTGGTTTGAATTGTCAGTGGTAGCATTTTATATTTGCTCTTTTCATGATAGTTTTTCTGAGGCATGTATGTAGGACTGTGTAGTGGCGGATGGAGGTTTGTGCCAAAAGGAATTGGAACTAAATTTTGGTTAAATGGATTCACCTCAAATTGTTTAATGTCAGAAACCGGCGTTTTTAAAACGTAGGTAGGTTGAACGCCACCTATTACTGGAGGATACATTTTGTCTACAGGTAAGTTATGAAAAGCTAATTTTGCAATGTTTAAAGTGTCTATCGTTGGCAAATATGTCGTTGATGTTGTAGTTTCTTCTTTCATTGTGTTCAATCCTTTTAGTAGTTCCATAAGCGTTCGTATAACACTTGTTTGATTATCTTCTTTTAAAGCTGTTGTTGGATTTGCTGGAACAAAAAAACAAAACCATTTAATTTTCTAAAGAATTATAAATATTATTATCAAATCATCCGATTCTAAGAGTCCAACTCCACAAACTCATAAACTACTTATAATCATGATTTACATTTTACCTGTGGTACTTTCAGAAATCGTCGTAGTTAAAAAAGTTACTCTTTCAGTGGTCGGTATTTCTTTTCTTATATCTCTCATTACTATTTCCTTTACTTTATCAGCTATTTCTTTAATAACATCAGTCGAAACAGTCCCAATTTTATCCTTGACTAAATTTGTACTACCTGACATGTCATTATTGTAATTTGAATTGTTAGTATAATAGTCCTGAAAAAATGTTTCTTCCTTTAGTTTCTCAAAGTGGTTGTTATCGTTGGTAGAATCTTGCGTACTTACTTCCATGGAAGGCAAAGGGTCATTGAGTTTAAATTTATTATTGAATTTAAGCATGTTATTAAGATATTGTAGTGCTTCCATTTTTTTAATTGATTTCGAATCTGCTGTCTGAGGACTAACTTTAATTAATGAACTAAATAGCGTAAGTTCTGTATTTTTTGCTTTGTCTTGATTGTCTTCATTAATCCGCTTCTGTTGCAAATTTACATCTTTCTCTGATCTTTCTTCTTCCTTATTTTCTTCAAATGTTTTACCAATTTCTGTTAAGTCACTTAATTCTTTTAAATCTTTGCTTAAAGTATATTTAATATTTTTTGCAACCGTTAGAGAATCGGTTTTACTGTTTTTATCTAAAAAATCTTTAATAGTCCTTGAAACTATATCCATATTCATAGTTCTTGTTTTGCTTGCTTCGGTAGTCGGTTTTGTTGCCTGACTTCTTAGATATTCAGCTATCATATCGCTAACGTATTTCATGGACGGTGCATTATCAGGCTTTGCTTTAGTGGGTGTAATGATTTCTATTGTTTCTTCTCTGGAAGATGCAATATGCGTTGATGGTTTTTCGGTTGAAGTTTTTGTACTATCCTTGACTGTAAATTTGGCCCAAAATTTCATGACGCTTTCTAAAGACGCCCGGTCCTTGATATATCCACTTTGTGTATCTTTCTTTTCTTTTGCTACACTGATATTTATATTATCTGGTCTACTTTCGTTAGTATCACCCATTTTCAGTTTGTCGTCAGAATCCTGTTTTATTTGTGCAAGGGTTGCTACTTTCATTTCATCTATTAAATTTCGTTGTTTAATTTTGTTGACAAAGTAAATTTCTGGTTTATCAATCGTAGACGTCTGTCTATCTACATTTAAATTATCGCTGAAAACTAGAAACTTTTTTGTTAATATACAAACCCGTGTAAAAATATATTATTTAAGTAAGTGTGTACGCACATAGTTTTTTGGATAACTCATTTTGTTTGTTTGTCGATATTTTAGAAGAGTCGTTAGGATCTTCAGTAACCTTGCTTTTGCCGTCCATCACAGGGTCCAAATAAGATTTTGATAGACATTCTTGGCGGAGACTTCTAATGAAAGACATATATTATTTCACGTATAGATTTATTAGTAAATAAGGATAGGTATCTATTTTCAGGTTTTATTGAATGAGTGAAATTTTCAATATCTTATAATTTTGGTCTTTAACCGTTTCTTGAATATCGGACTAGAAAGAAGAAATGTAATTTCATGAACTGCTTAGTTAATAAGGGTAGAGCACCCTTAGGTTAATAGGTGACTAAACTATATTTTTAAAGTCCTATAGTAATATTGCGATTTTCCTAAGATTATAGAAATAGGTGACTTTATGACTGCATGGATGGCGTAGTGGTTTAAGCGGTCGCCACGCCACGAGCTTCCAACTACGCTGAGTGTTGTGGGTCCGATCCCCACATGGGACTCCACTTTGTGTGATACACAAATTTTTGTTATTAGTCTGGGTGTTCTTTGTGTCCGTTTCATGTATGTTTGTAAAGTCCCCCGCGACACAGGAATATATACCTAATGTGGTGGTTGTTTAAAAAAAACAAAAGTGAGGATATATTGATATCACAGCTTTGGCTTTTATTGCAGTCTCAAACTTAACACAGTTTTAATAGGAATATGTTTTTATTTTATACAGCGATATTGCACTGGATTGTCAAAAAAATGGAGTAATGCGTAAGATTCATAATACACATCACGGTCATTTTTTTTAATTCAGGTACTCTTTGGTGCATTTAGTTAGGTATGTCGTTTATAGTGAATATAAATATTGACATATACCAAAAAAAACTTATAGTTACCTCGTAAGCTAATAATTAATATGATAAATGATTGTTAATTAAAACTGCAAAAACAAGTTGTCCTGAAACAAACCTGCCATCATTTAACCGATTACGAGAATAATCCGTTCAAAAGAGTGTGTTTGATAGCCTACACATGTTAGTTTGATAAAGTAACTGAGACAGAGAGACTTACTCATTGTTCATATCCAAGATGTTTACATTGTGTCGCTGGAGTTTCGCCAATGTGTTTGCATCCAAATCTTCCTTTTGCAGTCCACCCAACAACAACACACATATCACATCTGAAAACTATCACAATTTAATGGCTGACGTTCACACGTGAAGCTAAAAGTTCATTAATAATCTGTGTAGGGGGTATTTTTTTTTAAATTGTTAAGATGTTTTATTGGAACCTTTTATCTGGACTAAACGTTGTGAGCCCTGACCGCGAGCGTGTACGGTTATTTCACGTGAGAACGTACATGATATAGCAATAGCAGTGACTACAATTTGGCACAACATTGTTATCGTACCGAACCTTTTCATTGTTTTGGTAAATGCACAGCACTCGGATGGCATACGTGGGCGACTGGTATATAGCGACTGTTTAACGTATTTAGTTTGTTTTGTGTTTACGCTCATTTTTTAGTTTTTCATGAATGATTTCCATTCATTGTACTATATTTCACATGACATGCTTTTGACGTGGCATGGTAGCGAAATAAACTGTCCCATACACAATCAGTTTCTATAAAATCAATAAGAAACGAGAGTATAAAGTCTTGCGGATAATGTCGTATAAAGTATTTTATCTGTCTATTACGCAGAAGTGACTTCAGATGACACTAACAACAGATCTGCCTTTTCCTATCTATGATAATTTTCTCAGAGAGCCATGTTTTGCATTTTAAATGTACAGACTTATAGTGATCTAAGTTTTCTTCACAAATGTAAATAGACTAAACGGAACTGAGTCTTATACAAATAAAGTGTAGGTGTACCATATACTTCTTTCCATTTCAATTGGTTATGAAATGAAATGATATTTATTTCTGTAAGTAAATCTTTTCAGATATTTTTACAAGTCGGAGTTTATAGCTAGAAGGAGCCGGCATTTCCTAAGACTCACTCTGGGAAGAAACGCCGAAACAAACCACAGAGGTGTCTTTTTTTTTTTAAGTCCGTAAACAAAGTTAAATAAAACTGTGCGAGTACAGTATAGGGTCTGGATAGGCCTTTTGAGGAAAGGACCATAGTTTTGAGTCAACTGTCCATACAGACGGCATACAGGCTCCAGCCATCGTGTAGCCTAACCGATATTGGTCAAGATCAACGACCCGAAGCATGACACTACCGCCAGCAGGACATTTGGGTAGGCCGTGGAAACACTCAAAATCACCAGAAAGATAATAAAATATGAATTAACATTAAAGGCCTACACTGTACTCACATTTACATACTTACACAAAAAATAAAATACTATACAGTTCAAAGTCAACGAAAAATAAAATAAAAAAACAAAATACGAAATACACCAAAAAAAATAATAATTAAATGTCCATCACTTTCAAACTTAACAACAAAGATGTCTACGTAAATGTGGGAGTGAGCAGCATCAATCCCAAGCAAATTTGTCGTCTAAATAATCTGTAATAGTGTAGTAAGCCTTTTCACATAGTTTTAGCTTTACTAAAGACTTAAATTTTATTAATACTTAATTCATGGAATTTGCTTGGCACTTTATTGTAAAATTGCACACCCTGACAACGAAAAGACTTGCTTACTTTTTGTAGCCTAGTGGTTGGTAACACGAGTTTATCTTTATTTCTAGTGTTTATTTTATGCATGTCACTAAACTTTGTGAATAAATGATTATTTTTCTTAACATACACTAAATTTTAATATATATATTGAGATGCGACTGTCATGATACCAATTTCTTTAAACTTATCCCTCAGTGACTGCCTATAACTGAGATTATAAATTGCACGAATAGCTCTCTTTTGCAACACAAAGATACTTTGAATGTCAGCAGCATTTCCCCACAACAAAATACCGTATGACATTACACTATGAAAATAGCTAAAATACACCAGTCTAGCTGTTTCTACATCGGTTAATTGAATTATAAAATATAAACGGTTGACATATAAAATAGTTAACTTTTATAAAAGTGACTCAGTGATGAATCGTAATAAAACTTTTCTTCATTCCATAATCTTGGAAGATTAAGGAATGAAGAAAAGTTAATACAGTACTTAAATAACACCCCTATGGGTCCTCCCATAGGGGTGTTATTTAAGTGCTCATTAGCCTATCACCATCTACGGCTGAACAAAGGCCTCCAACGGGGCGCCAACTAGTTTTTTTAAATGTCAACATTCGTATTCGCTAATATTGGAGATAAAGATATTTGCGTATGTGAAATTACAACTTTCCTTTCATTACTAGTATACCTAACTATATTAAAATATGACACTTCATTTTTTTTGCATGATTGTTGCAGGCCCGATTCCTTCTGTCTAAGGTGAACCCGTCGCAAACGCATAACAATATGTATGCCTACGGAGGGGTGAGTAACACAAAAAAAATTTACTGTAAAATTTTACAAAAATAGCTTTTTGTTCTATTTTCGTAGTAAATTAAAATAATATTTTTTTATTGGCTCTGCATGGTGTTGAGCCTTACCTCTTATGACGTTCTTATTCTTAACTTGCATGGTGTGTACACCATCAAAGCATGGCGTTAATTTGTTGTTTTTTTTTGTTTCATCGTTGTTATGGCGACCAGGCGATGCCGATACCATCAGCGGTAGTGATTTTATTATTTTATTTTAAAATTGGTGTTGGGTGAATAACGCTGCAATTTTGCTTTAACATTGCATAAACTCTTGATGTGTTAAATTTTGTTTTTACTCGAAACACTTTAAAACAATATAATTGTATATGTTTCTATTGTGAAATGCATTGCACTATGTTGTATTTACACCACGATATCTACAAATGAATTTATTATTAAGGTTTAGATTTCTGACCTTATGTATCCAATTACGATTTATTCGGTCACTCAAAACTTGTGTGCTTAAAATGCAGAGATAATAAAATAACAGTAAGGTTTTTATTTTAACAATAAATGCATTCTTACCGAACTACAACACCACATTTTGCAATAGTAACTTGTGTGTAAACTATATTGTTTTAAAGTATTTGTTGTTATGATTACCAAAGCCTGCATTTTCATTCACTATTTAAAAAGTATGAATAAACACTATATTGACGATACCTTTTGATTTAAAGTTGACTGTAAAATATATTTGATAAAAATAAATTCGAGACATAAAAATGTTATAACCGTCGTTATGGTCCACGATTGATTTACTTTTATGATGTATCTACAAACTATTTTTGTAAGTTTTTATTTATTTCTAAGGTACTCGTGGATCCATTATGTGCGTCCGCTTATGATATTTTTCGAGTCACTTAAATTGTTTGTTGCTTAAAATGCCTTTATGCTTCAATTAAGAAATATAGCAGCAAAACTAACGTTTATGATATTTTAAAGACGCTTGATAGTTCAACCGTAAACCATAGACGTAAACTGAGTCTTGTTCTGATAATGTTGTAAATTCGGATTCTGTTTATGTAGCGTTACGCATTACGGCTGAAGTGTTAAGTAAAGTGCTCTTAAGATTACTCAGTGTAATTTAATGATTACTAAAGCAATCAATAGGTTATTTAAATATTACTTGTCAAAGTATTTACCTGCTAAAGTTATCTATGAATACCTAAGTAATCTAGAGACTACTAACAGTAATTTATAGGACTGTTACCCAGAGGTAACTCCCTACTAATATAAAGACTGCTCAAGTAATTTAAACATTACTTGAGCAGTCTAAAGATCACTAATAATTTTGAGTTGGAACCAATTTAATTAAGTGGTGACGGGCTAAACATGAGAAGGCGCTGAATTCTACCTCCATTACATACAAATGTAAATGATAGGTCTTAAAGCATATAAAGATTACAAAACAAGTCTAAATAATTTAAAAAAATTGAAAACCCGGCTGCAAAAAGACAATTTAAAAGTAATGAACTAATTAAAATCTGCTCATGATATACCGTTTTAAGATCCTCATGATGAGCCTTTTAATTTGATACCCATAATGCAGTATCCAAAAACTTATTTTTTTGCGTCACCCCATATTGCAGTATCAATTTTTTTTTTAATTTTATCTAAAGTTGGTTTTTTTTTGCGACACCTACCTAAGAACACTTGGGTTATTAAGACGAATCTAACGATATGTTAATTATATAAATCCGTGGAGCGGTTCGGAAGATATGAAGTAATAAAGAATATTACATGCATACAAAATACGCGCGAAAAACTAACCGCTAGTCGCGTAAAAAATCAGTAGTGGTATATAATGTGTAACATCTGACATCCTACTTACCATCATGCGGCCAACTAGCGCCACTCAGCTTTTTGGTTAAATACTTCCGTCCCTTTTGAAAGAAATTACTCTTACAGATTGCAGAAAAGTGAGAGAGAAGATATTACTATTCAAAAATAGATATACACCTATAATTGGCTCAGTTCTGGTACCCCTAGTACTAAGAAGGAATAGGTTTTTGAGGATATATATATAACTTACCTACCTACCTACCTACCTACTATAGCAATATTTCTTGATCCCAAAGTGGTTACTTAATACTAAGTTACTCGGAAATTTAATAAAGTCGATCAACTCACTTGAAAGCTACATTTTCTCATTAAAGTTACAAAGAGTTTCTAAACTTTTATTAAAACCTAATAGTAGTTAATTAAAAAATATTGAAAAAGCCTTTACATTAGGTGCCGGAATAAAATATTCGGTAACAATCCACATCACTGAAAAGACAACACCAACGTCATAATTATATTTATAATATTATTTTAATGTATTAATTAATTTTAATTATATATTATTTAATGAATGATGACCGCTTTCATGTTTTCTTCTAAGAACGAATCTATAATCAATCAATAATTACTTTTCGGATTTTAATATTGAAATCGTATGTTGGAAGATTCAGTGCACTTCTTCATGAAAGTATTACAGTCTACCTCATATTAGTATCTGTTCCCAGGACGGTGGCGCCCCCGTGCTGACAGATGATGTGTCATTGCAAGTGTTTATGGAGCATCTGAAGAAGCTGGCAGTGTCTTCAACGGCTTAGGAATAACAAATTGGAGCCTTACAATGATTTCAGAACTGATGTCCTATCAACCTCATAGACTCATTTGAAACTTACAAAATTTGGCGCGAAGCTGTTTTTTCTTACGAATTAGTTTAATTTAAATATATTCAGGAGAATTTGAGGGTTGCACAGTTATGACCAAGAACGAATGAATTAATTTCATACAGTATTAATAAAATATATAACTTATTGGGACATTCTGTTTAATAATGTAGCAAGTCCCTGGAATATTATATATAAATTTCAATTATGATGGATTTTAACAACTAATGTTGAGTTTACCTTTTAAGTACGAGGAGACAGTATGTTTAAGTGAAATTCTTATGTATAACATTATACTATAGTATAGTAGCCCAAAATCTCCTTTCCCTAGAGAGGCCTATATCCAGCGATGGACTATTAAATGCTGTTGTTGATGATGAACATGTAACATGGGTGAATAGTATCAGTTCTGAAGTGTTGTATTTTATATGGTTTCCTTCATTTATGCAATTTAATTTATAATTTTTTACAATATTCTGTAAATTAAATAAAATTAAAAATGTCTATGCAATATAAATTTGTCTTTACTTTATGAAAATATAATATTTTATCTTTATTTACAATTATTTAATTTTCTTCGTTCCCTAATGCAATGATATTATATATAAATAAGAGATACTAATGCATCTACACATTATTATGCACTAATTTATTCGAGGAAATTCATGAAATGCCTTCCTGTGGGTTTCAAAAGTGAGCAAATTATGACAAAAAGGTAAAGATAAAGGAATATAATACAGGTAAGTGTATGTTTTGTTCTAAAATGCATTAATAAATGTATGTACGGTTACTGCCTCTTATTGGTGTCCTTCCGTAACCTTCCTCATAATATAATTGACCTCATGTAAATCTGTAATATCTATACAACATGTTGAATGATGTATGCGTGGTAATTAAAATAAATAAGAAATAAGGTCTTAAAACGTAACAAAGAAAAAGTTATTTTATGAAAACAATATTTATTTATATCTTTTAGACACCAAGTCCAAACAGTAATTGTGTCTAATATTATCCTAATCTAATTTCATCTTATACTAATGCAATAAATATATTAAATATACCCCATTTATACGTACAAGTCCATTAAGGAGACAAATATACTAGGTTGTTGTAAGCTAAACTTTTTTTAACATTTATTTGTTGTGGAACTAACACAGGCCGCCAACACATCAGAATGAAGCGATATCTCAAGATGATACGATCCAAGTACACGAATAGGGACCGTGCGAAAATTTAAATTGACAAAAGAAGTTTGTACATGGAAAAAGACTAAATGAAACATTAAAGGGCAATTATTTCGGGCATACATACGTTTGAGTTGACCAGTAATACATAAGTTACGACCAGGTTGTACCAGCCGTGGTCACGAGCCGACTGACCAGTCCACCTGTTGCTAGCGGAGTGACTATGTGTATTTAATTTATATATTATGGAAAAAGTTTAATTAAGTTGGAACAAAGAAAATGTAAAAAAACTATTAAAATTACATAAATGCAATAAACTTTTTCTCATCTGTCTCCATAAATCTATACAATGCTGTATTAGTTTTTGAACAAAACTATAAAACTGTTTAAATAAAAAACTTATTAAATATACTTATGATTATCTACTAATATGGGTTCTACTTATAAAACATACTAAGTTTTTATCACAATAAAACCAATTACTAAACATTTTTCTAGTCATATCAAAACATTTTTAATATAGGTGTTAGTACCAAAAACTTCTATATAAAAATGCACTAGGTTTAAACAATAAGTTAGAGTACCCAAGCGGTCCCTAGCGATCGCCAACCCAAAATAAACTAATAGGTGTGATTCACAGCCCTATATCTACTTAGTGCATAATTGATATACAATTAAATAAAAATATATAAATTGAAACACTTATTATTATATCATCATTATTCATGAGTAGTGTATATGGTGTGCAATTGTGTGCCATTCTGGTCACCATAGCACAGGCTCTGCCTAGCTTCGGATCAGACGGCCGTGTGTGAGATGTGCGAGGTTTATATTATTATATTCACCTACTGACAAACAGACAATGACGTCTGAATTGTCAAGTCTAATTTCAATTAGCCATACGCGGAAAACAGATTTGCCTTCCAAATCGCAACTAGATATTTTATCAGCGAGACAGGGAGTAGCATATTTTCTGATAATTCTGAGAAGATTTTGCGCATACATAGACATTCCCATTATTTTTTATTGAAGAGACCGTAAAGTAGTGTCGCTAGTATAAGCGTCAGTATGTATTTGATGTATGCGGTTCAAGTGTGCGGGCGTCAGTTGAGGAATCTAATAGACATCTTCTGTTCAACATCTGTCCTGTCCAGCGCCGTGCAGAACTCCTCAAAACAAATCATCTGGTCGTTGTTGGTGTCCGCTTCTAGAATCGTGCGTTCAGCAATACTCGTCAGCTGTTCTTCGCTGTAATTGAGAAAGGAATGACGTTTACTGTAATTTTGCAAAAATATATTTTTTGTGGTAAAAGGGGAAAGAAGTCGATGTGTCACCTAAAAGGAAGTTCCCGCTCATGTACAAATGCAAGTCAAGAGTCGTAAGCAGTGGTGGCTGGTGGGTTATGGAACTGGTGGTGCACTTTACTAGCTGGCCAAATATTAGGCTTTTAATATAGTTAAAATTAATACTCATTTTCACAGTTATTTATGTTCGATCAGTATATATATTAAATATCCTTGTCGAATCTAAACGAATACAGAAACAAAACGACCACTAATTATTATTAACATACATTTGATAAGCAATCCAACGTGACGGCTTTGCGCGCTTTCGGTTTCGGCCAAGCTTGGCAGCGCTCGGGTGACCCCGTACGGCACGGGAATAGGCAAACTATTCCTACATATATTAACTATCTTTTGTCATAAGCGATGGGCGTGTTAGCTCGTATCTCATAAAAGTTTCTCAAATTTCACCGTGTGTTTCACCTAGCGCATCTTCTTCGCAGCGAAAATAAGTCTTAATAGTTTCGGTTCGAGCTTTAGAATAACTAGTTTCGTGATAAATTCGTTAGCATTAAAAAGATTTTTAATAACATTTAATAAAAATTGTGTTTATTTTGTAAACCTATTAAAATTTGGTGGTGCCAAATGCAAATGCAATTACACCAACTACGCTACCAGAAGTATCTAACAACTTCCATTGAGTATACAGGAGATATTAGAAAGGTTAAGAATAATTGCTGTGCCCCTACTTGCTTAAACTGTAAATAACGTTACAACCTTTATAGCACACTGGAACGAATAATATTGTTGAAATCCACCAGCATACTTTAAAAAGTTAGTCAAATTTTACTTGCTTAACTGACAGCAATTGATAATATTGTTTCGGGGTTAAAATAATTACACGTTGGAGATGAACGATTTTGAGGCATACTTACATGCTATAATATGTTCAGTAAACAGTACATACCTAATGTTAGCGCCAACCATCATGTGCAATATTGCCAATAGTTCATCCCTTGATATCTTGCCATCATTGTCCAGGTCGTACATTGAAAAGGCAACTGAAATTATTTAAAACAAATTATTTATTTAGACAAGAATCTAATAACCCTTAAATTAACCTTAATTAATTAGTATATATTATTATATGTATTTATATCAGTTGTCTAGTAGCCATAGTACAAGCTCTGCTTAGTTTGGAACTAACTGGCGCGTTACGGACCCGTGATACTACCCAATGACACCACCGGTGGTGTCAATGGTAATTTTCAATCCCCATGACACCACCGGTAGTGTCAAGGGTATTAGTCAATCCCCATGACACCACCGGTAGTGTCAAGGGTATTCTTCAATCCCCATGACACCACAGGTATTGTCAAAGTTATTATTCTTTATATGATGACACACAAAGATAGATAAAGATATTTATTTAATTATTAAATAAAATAGAAGTCATCCACGCCTCATTTGGAGGAAAGAAAATTTTCATTTTAGATGAAATAAACACAAAATCATAAACACAATTCAATGTTTACTGAACGTTTTGTCAGATAAAAAAAAAGACATTCACTATGTTTGATTTTTATTTGATTGGAGTGACGACTTCATTTTCAACGTATAACATGACTGGGAATAACAAAAATAACTTGATGTACTATACTGCAATGAAATAAAAGACCATCTATGCTGCAGTAGTATATCCTCATCAGTCACAACAAATGCAATATTTTAACTAAGTAAATTATTCAGATAGTTGTAGTACATCCTTTTTAAAAATGCCATTTTTCCTTACCTTATAAGTTTTATTATAGGTTATAAATAAGAAACAATTAAGTAAACCCACTAAAAAGAATTGATGAATAGATAATTAAATTTTTTTGCTGATAACATATTATTTTAAAATTTGTTATAATCTATAGCTTAGTGGTATGCCCTGATAATGTTGATTATCTTCGATTCAAATAGCCACTTTTTTAACAAAAGTTTGAGGATATGTTGTAATTTAAGAACACATGATGATCAATAAGAATTATGATAAAAAAAAATCGTAAGTCTTTCTTCTACTTGTCACTACAGGTTTCATACTCTTCTCTGAATAATCAAATGTAATATACTTTACCACTGATATTACAATGTATAAGGTGTAAGGTTACCTGGTGAGGAACTGTCACCATGAGCTTAATACCAATATCTCAATTGGTACATAAACCCTTACAATAACAATGTAATCTGTACAGAAAAATATACATATACCAGTCTATGGATTATTTACTTAGATAGATGTACTTGTATTCAGCTTTAGATATTTTATACCAGACCTTTGACATGTTTGTGTGCCATAATATAGAACATACAATTAACCAGTTGCAATGGTCATAGGTCACAAGCCTGTGATCATCATTAGTGTTTCTTGCCAACAAGATAATTCAAACATCAGGCAATTCGAAAATATGTAATACCTATCAATCACATTAATTCTTGAAGTAATATTAATTATTATATACGGAAATGACTTGTCTAAATACTTACACCGTAATTTCTCTTCCCTACTATTGAGCTTATTCTCCCTATTTTTCCTGATAGGTCTAAAGTGTGCCAACACTCTCATAAACTGCAGGAAGTTCACTCTGTCATCATGACTCTCAGCAAAGAATGAGTGAACGATTCTCTCACTAAGAGGGTTGATAGCAAGCTCTGGAATTCTCAGGAAGTCCTCTCTGGCAAGGGTGCCACAGTCATTTTTGTCTAGGGCTGTGAAGCGGGAGTATAGTCTCTCTATTTGGTTCGGTGTAACTAGAAAGTGATAAATAAAATAATTAGAAAATATTGATTGACAAAATCAACATTGACGAGAGTGAAGCTTGTGTGTTACATAACATAATGTATAATGGTACCCATATAGATCTGTCTATTCACATATACATACACACACACACACAAATATATATAGTTTTATAGGTAGTATATTTTATATTTATAGGTAGTTACTACTACTATCTTTTCATACATACTTTCACATTTCATGATAAATGTACTAAAAGATTTTGGGTTGAATCATAGGATAGGGAAGGGAGCCATTTTGTAACCATTGTCTTTACCTCTTTCACTGAGCTTTGTTTTACATTGCATGTTCTGGATGATTAATTATAAATATATCTGGATGTTTTATTAAAACATTGTTTTTTTTGTATAGTTCTGTTAGCTATATAGTAGTTATGAGGCTTTTTAAAACTTGTGCTTAATATATTTTTATGTAATCAATAAATTACTACTTTCAGAAAAAAAAGGCACATTCTCGTAAAAAAAGTTTGGTCTCAATTCAGTTATGATCAACTTTCAATCTCACGACTGTCATAAAAGGTATTTTCGTAGTGAAATAGTAAAGTATTACTAAGACTAGTAGATTACCGATTTAATTTTCAGTAACAATACAATATAAGCACATTAGCAATGTTGGATGTTTATGTCTTTTTTTTCTGCATTAAAAAAGACAACTCCCGCACTAGAAATAAATCCTGTGTAGCGGGGGACTTTAGAAACATACATGAAACGGACACAAAGTACACCCAGACTCAGAACAACAATTTGTGGATCACACAAAGTGTTGTTCCATGTGGGGTTTGAACCCACAATACTCGGCGTAATAGAAAGCAGCGTGGTTACCTCTTAAACCACTGCGCCATCCGTGCAGTTTAACACTTTACTACGAAAATACCTTTTAGGGCAGTTGTGAGATTGAAAGTTGATCTTGATATTGTTAACATTTTATTGTATCATTAATGGTAATGATGAAATAAAATATTGTTAACATACTCTACATGTACATTGTATCATATTTCTAATAGTTAGAGGTTCAGAAGATTTTAAAACATATTTTTAAAGAGTATTGCTCCTTGCACTTTATATATGAAATCAATAAATTACTACTTTCAGACATATTGTTTTTCACCATCATTAGTTTCCTTTATTCAAGAGACTTGCCTTACTCTGCAGTTTCCACTTTAGTTATTATGTTTCTCAATGAATATTCTATCTAATACAAAACATTTTTTTCGAATTAGTCTATTGACACTTAAAACAAAAATTCTTCAGTTTCATTATAATATAAGACTTTAAACTAAGCTAAGATGTTAGTTTATCAGCAACAAATTACTATTGGTTTAATACTCAATGGCATGTCAGGATTCCCTTCTTAATATTTTTTTTATCAGATATTATGTGTTTACAAAAAAACTTATGTCAATAAAAAGCCAAATACTCTTACAAGACATCAAACAACAATTAATTGTTCTTATTAGTTTGATAGCTATCCAACTTACATCCGGTTTCTTCTTGAATTTGTGCTATTTCTTCTTCGCGCAGTAGTAATGACGATTTGTTGCCCATATTTTTTACAAACTACGTACACGACACACACTACAAGACACGGAGAATTCCACTTTAATAATATTTACGGTTTTTAGAAGTTAAAATGTCTTACATGGACTTAACACAAAGGACACAAGGAGCAAAGGTCATAACACTGCAATGCAAGAAAGAAATAATTAACAACTATATGAATGAGTTATCTTAGTCAAAGTAGCCCGCACTGCTTTAAAATACTGTAATAGAGATGCCCACTATGAGAATTCGGTATTATGTTTTTGTTAGTAATACCTATTATATAGGAAGAAAAACGATATTGTGGGCTAACACACGAACTTCACCACTGACGTCATAACTGATAAATGAAGTGTCTATTTCCTGTCATACTACTCTATTATCTAATGTTAAAGATGTTAACTGTTACAATATTTGGGCAATAGAACGCTGTGTTGAATATAAAAACAGTTCATTTAATAGCCATAAAGTCAGCACTTAATCAACCACTTCAATAATCTCAGAAAGGAATTGAAATATTTCATAGCAAATTGTTTTTTTTTTTAAAGTACGGTTGGCTTAACAATATGAATAATTGATGGTTCTGAGAATCTTCAGTCTAATCAGAGTACTAAAATTATAATTTATAGAAAAAGGACTTGAAACTTAAGTTTAAGGCTTCTTTTTAAATTTTTCATGTATCTTAAATGTATATACACGTCTGCTTATGTTACATTAATAATAACAAATAGACTCTTGCTAATTTTATGAAAAAAAAGTTTATAAAAATTATGAAAGTGCCATTATTTATATTACTGTTAGTATTCAAAATAGGTAGTACTTCCCACCTCTAGTTCCAGTTGACATTGGTGATAGCTCACCAGCTGATTTGGAGAAAAAAAATACGTATTCTGAACTAATCAGTTCTGAACTTGAACAGACACAAAAAAATCGAAAACTTAAAGTAAAATAAATTCTTTTGCTTTATATTCTATATTTTTATAATTTTTAAAGCTTTTTAATAATATTTTACCTTTTGTTATAACTTAATCAAATAATTTATAATAAATAATATGAGACGTTTTGTTTCACATTCAACTGAAATTTATCGTGAATTGGTTGCATAGAGACTATATCGTGTAAACTAGTGTCAAAATTGTTATTGATTATATATATACCTACAGCAATATTGCTACAATCTTTAGATCTATTTTAATTTAAATACATGTAGATGGATATTAAACCATGAGCGGTGTAATTAAAACGACTTCAGATGTGTTGGAGCCTCTAGGTACTGTAGTAGAAGTAAATGAAAATGTTGTTAGTGAAATTTTCGACCGTCCATATGAAGAAGGGGAATTTGAAGAAATACCTCCAAAAATATTTGGTTTAAAAGAAATTTTTGAACCTCTAACTATACCATCACTCGATAATGCAATCTATGAACTTGGAGTGGTTAACCTGTGCTGGCCAGAGATCAAAGAGCCAGTATTCGAGACTAGAACATGTTTTCCAAAATCGTATTACACGAACAATTCAAAAGAACGATTACTTCTTTCATATGCAGAAAACTTTAGGCGACAATTTTTTCTATATAATAGAATGAGGAAACCATTGTTGTTACAAGTCCCCAATGAATGTGGTTTGCAGGTACATTTTCTAATTCATAGTATTGACAACAGATGGCTCAATACTCTATGATGTTGATTTTTGTTGGCTACGTATAATTACTTTTTATTCTAGAAAATGGTGTGTACCTCAATAAGGCCTACTAAACTTTGTTTTGAAACAACTACTAACTGGCAAGGCATAGCTACACTGCTTGCTGATTATTTCGACTACGAACCACTGGCAAAGCCAATGCTGCACGTAAGTACTTATAAACATATTTATCAATTGATCAATAGGAATTTGGTTCAGAAATTGATGGGTTGGGTTGGGTTCAATAACCATGCACCGTAACCAAACTATTCATTTTTATTAAATTTCTGTGTAATAATTGTTGTATTGCGTTGTTGTTATATTTCTTCTGCCGATAGATGGCGTGGGTAGTCGATTTTATCAAAATTTGCACACAATTTTAATCCAAGAGTTATACTCAATAATATCATATCTTTGACCACTGTCTACAAACTTGACTCTAGCATATGTGTATACTAAAAATACAAAATATATGGCTCTAGGTTAGATAGTAAGATGTAAAGAGAATGACAACGTACCACGATAATAAGAAAAGCAAGAATTATTATCGATAAAGAATTAAATGGATAATAATTATACCTAGCAAATTTCATAACCAGTAGTTACTATCTAGATTTCTTTTTTTAAGGTCTGTATCTGTAAGTATGTATCTCAATGGTATGGTATGGCTGCCTAGGTCTGCCAGGGTTTTCGGGGACTGCCTTTTTTGGGGTATACCCGGGTCTCTTGCAATAGACTTACATGTAATGGAACACCGTGTGGCTTTAGTCGGTTCGATTCCGACATAGACATACCGCTCCACCGTGAGCCCCGGTGGGTTAATGACCAAAGGCAGTTGCTAAACGAAAAATAAAAGTCTGTAGGTATGTAAATATATTTTATAATAGGTATGTGTAATTGACCGCAACTTGTCTACCTATTGTGTATTGCTATCAATTTTAAAAATAATGCAATTATTATTTAAGCATTTTCTATTTAGCGTTCTGTTTGTTGAATTTTATTTTTTATTATTCGCCGCTTTTTGAGCCGCTCATGAAATCTATCAATTCTGTTTTCGATTGCAAGAACCTTGTTAGTGTTTATTAACTGCATATACCTAGTGAACTGAGAGTTTGTTGCTATAAAGATTTAATTAGTTAGGTACGAGACTCCTTCTCTCTGCTGTTTTTTTTTGTTAATTATGTGAACACTTTAGGTTCAGCTTTCAGTGTAACTTTTGAATTTAATTATATAAAATAAACCTATTTGTTAGAACGTAAGTTTTAACCATGGGAGAGCCGTGCTTGGCCACTTATGGCCCGAATCAACAGGAGTGAAAAGCCTCAAGAAACAGTCTCGTGGAAAACCTGTCAGGTTTTTTTTTTACTTTTCACCGAGTGAGTTATGCTTTCAAGTAAGGCTCCCTAATCTTAGGATCAGGTGACGCGTCTGCTCGTTTTATCCCTGTACAAAAAAAGTGAGATCACTCACTTGATCGTGGACACAATTTCACTATAATCATGTGAAGTCACAAGCACAAGCTCAGCTGCTGTTGTAGGTATATGTGTTTGTTTCAGGTAAATAAAAGACATGTTAGCCATAGGTTTCAAAAGTTTAATTATTCAACATTTTCGAGATCACAAGTCGTGATAAGAGAATTTATAATCCAATTTTTAAATTTTGTACAAAATATCAATCTCTTGAATAATAATTTTCCAGTTCGCTCAATAAACGTGAAAAGCAAATCAACAATTCTATCTTCTGTGGGAAGGAGATACAATTTTTGAAGTGTTTGCTAATGGAAAGGTGAGTTCGCCGAGATGCGCACACCTACACCATTGGACAATCTCTTATATAACATTAAGATAATACGCTCTATTAATTAGGAATGTACTTACAATAATAATAATCTCTCAATAATTTATAATTTTGATCACAGTGTTCTTAACTGTTAACTTTAACGTATAATACATTTCCGGGTCGACAAGAGCGACATTGTCTACCATATACATATATAAAATAGTGAGCAATAGAAAACAATTACACAACGAGTGCCTAGCTAACGCAATAGAGTCATCTATATCTTAACAATATTACCGTGTTCTTAAGATTGGCACAACAATACATACGCATCCTTTCAATATTTGGTATCGGCCAGGACGGCGGGAGTGGCGCCACGCCGCCACAGCCTCAAGCACGCCCCACACATAATATGTACATCTCATTGAACGGTTGAAAGGACGCTGTGCGTAACTTAGTATTAGTTTTGACTTGAGGTAGAACATAGGGGATATAACTAGGAATGTTAACGTCAAATGGCAACATACAGCGGTTCTATCTAAACTAATCACTTAACAGATTTGTGTGCATCGGTAAGTGAAAACGCAGATAGATATAACATTCAATTTATAACAGGTATCGCTATCTACCCATTTAGTTTCACATAGAAACAGATCTCCTACCTCGGCGCGCGGACAAGTTGGCTCATTAGCTGGTTAAGCATCTCGCCCTTGTCGGTTCGTCGAGGTTGGCTAAAGACTTACTAACTAAAGACTGATGCATAGCTTTTCTTTTAGAACAAAGAAATTACGCAAATTTGGCTACACATATCACAAATGATCGCTTACTGGCGACGTCGTAAGTAAATATATAATTGATTTAATCCCTGTAGCGAACGGCTAGCAGTGTCGAGCGTCTACTTGCGGCGGGCAGCATGGTCCGCAGGATCCACCGGAGCCGCGGGCTGACGGCGAGCCCGCAAGTTATGCAGTAAAGCACGCAACTGGTGGACGTGCATGCGGGTTACGCTCGGATCGCCACTCACTTCTAACCACGCGAGAAACTTGTCGCCGTGATCGAGTGCATCCGCTGCACCTGCCTCCCACTCACCGCTTGCAGGAGATGTGGACCGCACTTCCGCACCAACGGTCTGATTGCTGTTATTGAACAAAAGGTTGTCTAGAACGGTGCGCGCTTTGGTGTGGCTTCTACTCGACTCGTGACTTTTATCGGGCAACGGCTCCTTGTTTTCAATACCGATCTCTGGACTAGCAGCAGGTTCAGCGACACGCGGTTCGGTACTAGGCGTACTGCGAGGTTCGGGCTCGCTGTGCGAATGAGTTTGCTGATGTACTGTACTTGTTGATGTACCTTGCCCCTCTTCCATCTTCCCCTTTGTTAGTTGTGAATATAGAATGTTTTCTGCAGTTTTATCCTTGGGCACCTGGGCAGCAGACTTGTGTCTGTCCTCTGGGACTGGTATGGCTCCGCCAAAATGTTTGTAATATTGCCAGAGCCACGAATTTCTGTTATAATCAAGATGAGGGTTGATGGGTGTCGCTGCTGCTAGCGGTTTCGTGGGATCAGATGTTTTTCCAAGTTGCAGTGGATGTGTCGGATTAGCCTGTGCGGTGAGATCAAGCATTGCTTGTTGCGTTTTCAGCCAGTACCATAAGGAGTCGTCCACAGGTTGGGTAGCAGTTGAAGAGTGCGAGGCTCCGTGGTGACTAGATTTTGAGAGACGATACGGATCTGAATGATGGCTCTTGTGGCGTTGGTGATGCTTGCCATCATTTAAGTTAAGTACTCCGTTATGTGCTGGCTTCGGTGACCGGACGGAGCGTAACGCACGACTAGCAGGTTGGGCCGATAATGCTGACAGTCCAGGGTTAAGTTGAGCAAGTAGAGTCAGATTGGTTGCAATTTCATTGAAGCTTATTCCCAAGTGCGAATGTGTGAGACCAGGCAAATGAGCCAGCCCTGATAGCGGACTGATGGCACTCATAGAGACACTGGCTCCGGGGTCCGGTCGACGCTCGCGCGGAATGTGAGATGTTGGAGAGGGTATGGCGCGTTTGGTGGTAAGTTCAACGGGGACATCGGCTGGTGGAGGAGGTGGTTGCGGCATAACAGGTGTGACAACGGGCGCAGAAAGATCTAGTCCATTATTGACAGGTGAGGGCGGTGCAGCTGGGGATTCTGTACGTGCACGCTTATCTGGTGGCTCACCATCATTGCTTTTGTCGGTATCAGGAGAAGATAGACGTGATGTCATATATCTTAGCTTGTCCTCATTTTTGCACCAGCCACGCAAAGTGGACTCAGGTACACCGATGTCTCTGGCTACCGAGGCCTTAGACTCACCATCATTGACGCGCTGGATGGCTTCGATCTTGTCGCTGGGTGTAAGGGCTCTCATGGGCCGTTTGCCCTTTGTTGCCATTTTTGCGTGTAGCCAACTGCAACAAAAAAAAAAAACCTTAATTAATCTTTCGTATCACGGTGTTTACTTTTCTCATTGTGTATATTTTAAACTATCGCATCTATAAACAAATAAAAGAACCGAATTATTTGTGAACATTGCTACAGAAAAACAAGAAGTTTCTGACGGTCATATTACATGAATAAAAGCCTAGGTACGTTATTTATAAATGCCTGAACAATTCAATTTTAATTTTGTTGGTATATCATCATCATCATCATCATTATCCTTTAATAGTTCAGTGCTGGAAATAGGCCTCTCTTTAGAATGGAGGTTTTGGCCTACTATGGCGCGGCTGGTGTTGGTTCTGGCCACCAGCGGCCACCGGTTGGTCTGGCCAGACGGGTTGGTATACGGTTTGTGTCAACGATTCCTTCTCTTGTACATCTATTTCTCTCTCTTTTGAAATGAAAAATGAAGGTACGTGAAGAATGATTGTTAACAAAAACAATGTATTGTTATAAAAACTGTTTAATACGTACGATTTTTCAAAGTAGCTGTATAAATAATAATTATTCACCATGATGACAATAAGCCACAGGTCTACTCTAGTTAATATTATTACGTAATCATAATCACTAGAAATGATCCAAATGCACTTGACCAGACACTTTATTGCACAATAACTAGTGTTACCCGCATAACATCATTTAAATAAAATTACGAAATTGTACAAACAGTTCGCAACACCTCTACAAAAGTTAGTATAAACAAAAACGTTTACGCGGGAAGCTATAAAGTTACGAAAAGATAAACAAAAAGAAGACATAAAATTATGACCTACGACAACAGCAGGCGGCAAAAGTTGTCGGGTCATTGACACGGTGACCTTGCGAGCGGTTAGCGCAAACGCCACCCAGCACCCATAGATGGCGCTGTGCGACCGTAAGTTAGTTTGATGTTTATTTTTGTGTATAAATGGTACAAATTTTGGTAACTCTTATGGAAAGTAAAACACACATACTGTTTACTCATAAAATATTTAAAAAGTTATACTATTAGTTTAGGAAACTAAAACTAAACTAAGTTTTATAAAAGTTTGTGGGCACTTAACTTATACCTAAGTTTATTTCGCAAACGTACAAATTCCTGGGACATGATTAAAAAGAGCTTAAGGCAAGGTAAGGCGCGGTAAAACATTACTAGGCAAATGATAACTAAATGAAAAATGAAAACTAAATGAAAACTAAAAAACTAAACCTAGTAACGTTTTGAGAAATTTGTCCGGAAACTTGATTTAGTGAAATAAAAGTTAAATTTACATTAATTGATTACAATTTAGATTTCTTAATATCTTTTACGTGACTTAACCTTTTTCGGTGAAATTTAATTTATTTTACAGGCTTTACTCACCTACTTATTGCATGGTCATTTTCCAATATTGTTTGTTTTTAAACGTAAAAAAGTATTATATAGTGTTTTAAAAATTGAAATAAAGTGGTAATTGCGAAATTTGTAGTTTACTAGGTTTAATTAAAATATTGTACATAAAATACTTAACGGAAAAAATAAAATCTGTGTGTGGCTGTTCGCGTTATTCTAAATACGAAACTTAAATTATTTTATTGTGCATTTAATTTTTCTCATGCAACTAGGTTTTATGTATCCTGTAAAATCATTTTTTACTTATTGTCACATGTATGTTACTTTTTGTCAAGTTGGACATTATTACGAATAAAAAAATTAGTTTACTAAATTTGTAAGAAAGTTTAATCTTAACTAGAAAAATATCATTGGGTTGGTAAAACAATTCAATTAATACAACAAAAAGCGCTTTTAATTATCGCACTTTATGGCATCAGTGTCCAATTATTTGATGACCAAGTGCAACAAAGAGACCTATGCCTATTCGACACAATTCAACACTTTACACGATGTAAAACAACGAACGTGTAAATGAGAGGTTTAAAACTTACTTGTGAGGCGGTAGTGGCGACGGCGGCGGCACGTGTGCGTTGTTTACAATTTTTGACAGGCCAGCCGTTATTGCGATATTATAAAGGTTCCGTGAATGGAGCACTCCGACCAATAAAATATAGAGCGAGTGCGCAGTGCGCGTCACGTGTTGACACTAGTTCCAGTTTCACTGATCAGTTGATCACAAGTCACTGAGCGGAGGCGCGCGGAGCGTGTGTCGCGAGACGTGCGTCGCGGAGCGCGCGGAGCGACTGTGTGCCGCCGGTGATAAGGCCGCCCGGCGCCCGGCCCGCGGCCCGCGTCCGCGGCCGGCCGCTCCTCTCCTTTGTGTCCGTCCGTCACCCCCCGGCGCCGAACCCCCCGCGATTCGCCGCCTCCTCGCCTAGTCCTCCGACATTCGAGCCTCGAGCCGCGCTCCGGCCTACCTATCTCCCGCAATATATTAACTCGATTAATTATTAATTTTAACGCATCAACTTTCCAACGAGTGGAGAAAAAAATCTCCGCTCGGAATTGTAACTTTTTTAGTGTCGTCCGTGAGTTGCGGTCGACTGAAAGTTTGAGCACACGATCGTGGTGTTCCACAACTTTTGTAAAGTGGCAAAGTTCGTCTCGTAATAACGTCTCGCGCCAGTCTGCGAAGTAATAGTTGCCAACTAATTACTCCACTTGCCGCCAGTTGACCCGTTGACAATGTTTTACACGAGCTCCACTAAATGAACAGATGATGAAGTTTGAAAAATCATAACATCATAATGCACACGGTGATAGATAAAAAGAAGGGCCGGGGCTCATTGATATGCTACGAATTCTCGTAGCGGAGCTACGTTTCGTGTTGTTATGATTATGATAATTGTAGCGTTATGTTTATTTTCAAATTCTTTACTTCTTATTTTTGTTTGTTAATTATAAATGTATAAAAGCTATTTAGTTAAGATTATTCAATAACAGTTTTCATATTTTATAGTTATGTTTTTAATAAGATCCCAGAACTCCTATGAACTTGGCGGAAAGATTGCCTTAAGAGTGCGTTGCTAACTGGTACCGATTCATGCCAAATGGTAAGAAATTTAGCTATTTTTGGAGAAAACTAAAACACTAAAATTTCATTAATTTACTTGCGATGCGTTTAAACAAATATGTATAAGAGGAGGGTCCAGATGTCATCAAAGTTCTTCTGCCTTACAGCTGATGGTAGACTGTAACATTGATTAGATAGTTGAATATTAGACGATTATATGTCTGTTAGTCTCTTACATAATTTAATACAGCGAATAATCACGCTATACAAGTTACAAATACTTTCGAACAAGTACAAGTCCGAGGATATCTGGACTTGGAGGTCGGTCTGGTAACAACTTTAGACAAGTTAATCTTACTGAAGCGCTACATTATATCGTAACACTGTTCCTGTAAATCTAACCAAGATAGAGTATAGGCCTAAAATTATGAAACAGGACTTACTTTTACCATTTACCAGGTCTGAGTACCCGATAATTATACTCTATCTTTCTATCTAAATACGTATAAAATACGAGATCTGCGTATTAGGAATACAGATATTTCTCTAAAAACTCTACATATATTTTATAATAAACTCTAGACAGACACATTACAAGCACATTACTTTTTAATGGTTTGCAGTCTTGTCGAATAGTCTAAATTGGTGGTAAGATTAATTATCATCATCTCAGCTATAGAGCATTCATCATCAATAGCCTTTATTAGTCCATTACTGGATATAGGCCTCTCCTTAGAAAGGAGGTTTCGGCCTACTATACCACGCTGGCCAGACGGGTTGGTATAGGGTTTGTTTCAGGTTTTCCTTCTCTTTGCAGTGCTGTTGTCCTGCGTAGGTTACTCCCTTACCCGGCTCTTACGACATCCACGAGATGAATAGGGGTGGTGACACTCTATATTCTTAATCCGTCACCACACGGATAGGGCATTCCTCGCTTTACAATATAGACTTTCCTTAATGCTTTTTATGAAGGATTGGGACGTGGCAGTAACCTAGAAATTAGTCAATATTGAAATACGAGTGGTTATTGTCCTTTTTTAAGTTTTAATTTTTTCTTCTTCTAATTACGGAAATACAATTAGAGATATTGAACATAGGCGACATTAATATAATTTTACAATAACAACATTTATTGATTTAACATAACCGTCGTCTGTCTTACTGACCTACACCAAACAAATTTAAAGTTAAAATAAGCTGAGGGGTGACCAACGCTTCTTAGAATTGCAATGCTTATCTCAAAACTTTGTTAATACTTTGCGAGTTTTTTCATAAAAAAATAGTATACTTTTTAATCTTTCTAAGGTCAGGTAAATCCCTTTGTTAACTAGCTATTACTATTGTATTATTTATTCATTTGTTTTAACAATATTTTTAGAAGAAAAGCCCGAAATCGGTGTTAGAAATTTAATATAATTAATTATATTAATTTAATTATAATGTATTCTTTTATTTAATTGATTTCGTGGTAGAAAGTAGTCGTTGTGCCCTAAAATTACGTTTACGGTAATGGACACGCTTACGATAGGTATTAAGTACATACCTTTGAATTGCTTGACGTTTCGACCGGGCTGCATTGGCCGTGGGCACAGGACTGATTAATTATAGATAGTTTAAGAGTTAGTATAGCTTATATGCTATTCCAGACTATAATCTGTCTCTGCTTAGATTTCATTAATATTCTTTTAGTCTTTCTGGCATGAATGAATTAGTTCAAAAGAGATTTTAATTCGTGGTTAAAATTATTTATGAATTTGTTAAAAATTTGATAAAATGTAAGATTATACAACTGCAATTCTTTGGTAGTGCCTAAGAATTACAGTTCAACACAATGTATTTTGTGTGAAATTATCTTGCGAAAACAAGTCGGTTACAAAATTCCTATTCCCTTCCTATTCCATTGCTTAAAGAACACAAAAATAATTATTTATATCAGTAAATCTATTTTGACAATATATAATAAATTAGTTTTCGGTCGAAGAAAAGAAACAAAAAAAAAGGTTTTTTAAAACTTACCCGTATATCGCTATTATGTGAAACAAACGCCGCCGCGCCGCCACGGCCGCCAGCGAGGATCAACTTATTTTGTCTATGAGCAATAGATTGTTCATTAGCCCCTGCTTACCTGCTGTTGTTGACCAATCATGCATGCATCCTAGTGGTATTTGTCGTACTATATTATTCTTTTACTTTATGACAGACAATCATAAAACTAAAGCGTACTCCGCAGTCCGCGTATCAGGTAAATATGGGTTTGTCTCTGGTGGTCACGTTTATGTGTGAGATTACATATTTTACCATGTTTAACCGACTTCAAAGAAGAAAAAGTATTTCAATTAGTGTTGTATTTTTTTTTAAAATATTTGTTGCCAAATCTATATACCCCCTAAGGATGAAAGAATTCGGACCGATACCTTCAAGTAAACAGCGCACTGCGCACTCCTTCCTCAAAGGCCGGCAACGCACTTGTGTCTCCTGAGTTGCAGGCGTACATAGCGGTAGTCACTTTCCATCAGGTGACCGGTCAGGTCGTTTGCCCCCCTGTAACATAAAAAAATGGTGCCTAGATGTGTAATATGTCACAAAATACTATTAATAACAACCGTTGATTGATGCCCTTCGTGTTAACGTCCACAAATGTATTTTGTAGTCATGTAAGAACACATATGGATCAAGTTTTATTAAAAATGTGGCGTTGTTTTATTTTGTTTTTTTTTGAAACCTTGAACGTGTTTCTATTTTATGAACGTGTGCCCTTACTTGTCCTTACAAATGTGAATGTTTCTTAAAATATAATTTCTTAAAATTTGCGAGGTGGAACTCCCAAATTATTAATAATCAACAGCCTATAATAGTTCACTGCTGGAAATAGGCTTCTACTTAAAAAGGAGGTTTTGGCGTACTGTACCACGCTGGCCAGACGGGTTAGTATAGGGGTTGTTTCATGTTTTCTTTCTCTTTGCAGTGTTGTCCTCCGTAGTTTGCTCCCTTAGTCGATTCTTACGACACCCATAAACGGATTAAGAATACGGAGTGTCACCACCCTTATTCCTTATAGGGGTGGAGACACTCGTATAAACAGACAGACGTATAATGCGTCACCACACGGATACTATTACTACCCCTTTTTTTTTCCGTGCGGAAATCCTCTCGGATACCACCCGTCGGTGGCATGTCGGACTCGAACCGACTAAAACCGCACGTCGTCTCGGGTACTAATAGCCGGGGAACCAGGTATATCCTAGAAAGGAAGTCCCTGGTGCAACTATTACTACCCCTAGTGTATTGTATTCTTGTATCATCAGTAGTGATGTAATAAATTGAAAATACACCCGATTTGAAAATTTCTTTGAAGATTAGAAGAGAGCTAATAATCTTCTTCTAACGTCTGGATAAATTAAAAAAATGATAATAAATACGAAATGGAAATCTGTCTATTTATTTAATACACAACACACACATTGTTTTTTTTTAAAGACAACTACCGCATTAGGAAAATATCCTTTGTCGCGGAGGACTTTACAAACGTTTGTATTGAATCCACAACACTCGGCGTAGGAAGCGGCGTGACTACCGCTTTAGCCACTATGCCATTCGTGCAGTCAACACACATTTGAAGCACAAAACCAATTTATTTAGAAGTCATTTCGTCATTAGTTTGTCTTTTCACCTGACATGTGTACCTTCTATATTATTTTTTTCCTGTGGATCAAAATTTCGACCTTTTTGAATGTTTTGTCTTATTTGATTGACCAGTATTACTTGAACTCCGGTTGGTGACATATTAAGAATACGTAGTGTTACCACCCATTTTCATCCGGTGGGTGTCCTAAGAGCCGACTAAGGGAGCAAACTACGTAAGACAACACTCTAAAGAAAAGGACAACTTAAAACAAACCCTACACCAACCCGTCTGGCTGGTATAGTAGGCCAAAACCTCCTTTCTAAGGAGAGGCCTATGTCAGGCAGTAGACCATTAAAAGCTGTAGAGGATGATAATAGTGATGATTAGAACAGTTATTGTTTGGACTTTTAAACAAAAGTAGATCAAAATTTATAATGGGTACTTGTAGTTCTATGTAGCCGTTCAAAAAGAGGTACAGTATTCAGATACATGTACCTCATACTCCGGATTAATACTTATTAGCGTTTAATGTCTGACCTATATCGTACAATAGATGTTTTGAAACGATTCACTAATAAATAGTCTGATAATTTATCGTTAAAATATAATTACTGTAATGAGGTACCTAATTTACCATCTTGTATGTGGTATACTTTCCATCTCTGAGTTTATTATTTATTTTTCTAATGAACCTTTGAAAATAAAATGTTAGAAGTTTATAAGAATAAATCAAAAAGCAATAACAGTACGGTAGATGTATTATTTCTAATACAATTCGCGGTTGATATTTTAAATATTTACTTTATTAGATCGTAGAATTGTGCTGCCGTGGACTTCACACACCTTCAAACAACAAACACAAACAAACAAAGAGTTCCGTGTCCGAATCATTTCCAAACATTGTTATGCAGTCATTAGTAAATAATGTATCATCACATCTTATGCACAATTTTGTATTTAGTTTATTAGCTAAAGTCCAGTTGTACAAAACATCACAGAGCTTTATACTTAACTGCAGTTGAATAAGCTTCCAATGTGTGTTTTCTTTGATACTAAATATACGTCATGGCCATGAGTAAATTTATCATATATACGAGACTTGGTCTATGACATCGTATAAAATTTAACTCGAGTTTCATTAACATTTTATACACGACCATTTCCACTCCATCATAGTTCTACTGTAGGTAGTAATATAGATCAGGAATTAAGCATTAATGTTATGCCTATACTGAAATTCTAGTTTCCAAAAACTCAATAATTATTAAACGCTATTTTTTGGCAACGTCTTTACAGTTGAATGACACATAAAGTTAATAAATCTTAGTTTAAAAGTATACACATAATAATATTATCAGATATTATACCTGACATACAAGCGTCGGTAGCGTAAAGGCTAACGCTAGAGATTGTGATCAAATGGTTGGGGATTCAAACACTGCCTAGTGACCAACGTTTACAGACTCATAACACAAGAATTTGGCTAACTTCGAGAAGTTAATAAGAATTACTACTATTCTTTAAAATAACAAATGTGCTGTAGTCAGAATTCTATATCTGCATTATCTGTAAGTACTCGTATTTATCGGCAATGCGATTGTACCCTATTATACAAACTGGCGACTCTGTGCGCGCGGTTTCCTATCTCTATTGTTTCTTTAAAAAGTTACTAAGAATTTCCTAACTACCACTGCTAAGTATAATCTGGTAATCGTGCAAACGCGTTCGTTTATCAAATCCTGTTTTTTTAGTAATGTGATATGAATATAATTGTACGCAAGGGAATTTGCTATTTATTATTAAGGGAGGTAAGTAAGTTTTCCGTAA